CCCCGCAAGCGAGCATTTGCTCTGGAGCAAATTTAATCCAGCTGCGTTCACACGTGCACATTTGTTTCGGCGTAGCGTCGCAAACGAGCATTTGCTCTGGAGCAAATTTTTAAACCACCTCCCTGAGGTGGATCAAATTTGGTCCGGTATAAGCTCTTTAGTGGAGCTACGCCGCAGCAAATGTGCACGTGTGAACGCTCGACTGGATTTATTTCGGAGCTGCGTCGGACCAAACGTTGCCGTGTGAACGGGGCTGATGATAGATTTACAGTACAGCGAACCCTTTTGTTTGCGAGGGACAGGACTTGAGTCCTGTCCCAAATCATGAAAAGGCACCAGTGATTAAAAATAGTATCATTTATTTATATAGCCCTTAGTAAGAAAAAGTCTCAAAGGAATTCACAGCCTCGCTGTCCACAAAAAATGACATTGCATCATCTAGACCACTTCTCCAAAGAAATCCTCACAAGAAAACCCTTTTAAGGTGGGGAGAAAAAGGGATCGCAAATGGAGAGGGACCCCATTACAGGATGACCAGATTGCGGTGGGTGTCAATTGGGCAACATTTAAATGATATGCTGTACCGCAGCAGGCGGCACAGTGATGGAGGTACCGCAGCATGGGAGGCAATTTAATGAAATGAAGTAGGTAGACTCACATGGGGCAGTAGTTCTCCTGAGGACCAGTCCCACTCCTTACAGCAACAGTCTCATTTTGCTCATTGCCACGCGGCCACCTTGGAGCAGGAGAGAAGCAGCAGTAAAGCAGACCAGAATTTGATAAATCTAATACAATACATTTCTTGTTTAGAACTGAGAAGTAAAACAGTAAAATGCAAAGTTTATCAACAAATAACAGGACACGTTCCCCCAAAAAGTGTATTTGCTCATGCCAAACCATTAATATGCAGGGGTTTATTGTACTTGGTCATTTACTTTGCTTTATGGGTGATAACGTATGCTGTCTCTTCTCCAGCTCACTCTTTATGAATGTCACTCTCAAGGAGAAATCCGACTCTTGCAGTCTTATGTGGACGCTGATGTATCCTTGCTGGTCTCATCCTCACCACCATTGCAAGTTCATGTTGAGTGGCAGTGTTTGTAGTCCTTTAACAGAGACCGTTTGCCTTGTTGTGCACTTGAAATGAACCAGATAATTTTCTTGACCAAAGTCTTACACAGGCAGACGAAAACTTCTACACGTGTGCCTGGACCTATGACACCAACACCAGTCACCCTCTTTTGGCTGTTGCCGGCTCACGGGGAATCATCCGAATTATCAACCACATCACAATGCAGTGCATCAAGGTTGGCTTTTTTCCCCCCTCTCCCTCTCAAATGCTGTAATGCACTCACATTGCATGTTCTTGGTTAAAACATTTATGTTCTCATACTCAGCATTATGTCGGTCATGGAAATGCGATTAATGAGCTGAAGTTTCATCCGAGGGACCCAAATCTTCTCCTGTCAGTCAGCAAAGGTACCATTTCATCCCTACCACACAAAGTGTTGTACAAATGCAAAATTTAAATTGTGTGTGCCTGCAGATCATGCCCTTCGTCTGTGGAACATACAAACGGACACATTAGTGGCCATATTTGGTGGAGTGGAAGGTCATCGAGATGAAGTCCTAAGTGCTGTACGTTGCATTAAGTCACACTTAGTAGAATTCATAAACTCATGTTTTTTTTTGTTTTTGATTTTTTTTTTTTTTTTGCAATTATCCTACTGCAGGACTTTGACCTCCTGGGTGAAAAAATAATGTCATGTGGGATGGACCACTCCCTTAAACTTTGGCGAATTAACTCAGAGAGAATGCAGAAGGCCATCCGTGGATCCTATGAATACAACGCCTCCAAGACCAACAGGTAACACCAGAAGAAAACAAACAACATATGTTCATTTTTTTTCACCCTGTTGTTCTCTTTTTAGGCCTTTTGTGTCACAGAAAATTCACTTTCCCGACTTCTCTACACGAGACATCCACAGAAATTATGTGGATTGCGTGCGGTGGCTTGGCGACCTCATTCTTTCGAAGGTACAAGCCCTTATCGATGTGAATGAGTCGGGTCTGGCCCGCATCACGCTCACCTGCTTTCACATATACTCTTGTAGTCGTGCGAAAATGCCATTGTGTGCTGGAAACCAGGAAAAATGGAGGACGACATCGATCGCATCAAGCCAAACGAATCAAATGTTACCATTCTTGGACGCTTTGATTACAGCCAGTGTGACATCTGGTACATGCGCTTCTCCATGGATTTCTGGCAGAAGGTGAATCACTGTTGTTTTTCGAATTTGAATGAGGATTCTGTTGTTGTACTTTATAGAAACTTACATTAATGACACCTTTCAAGAGAATTGTGAAGTATTAATCAGTTCTTGCTTCAAATCAGTGGACATCGTGCTGCTCCTTGGCATCGTCGGGACTTGGCACAGACATATAGATGAAAGTGGAGATGATCACAACTCCTTAATAAGGCGCAATAATATTCGTCATTCTTCACAGAGGATAAAGAACGCATGAGTGTTGTTATATTCTGTCTACACGTGTTGCTTCACAGGTTGTGTTTAAAAATCTATTTCTCGAAGGGTTAGAACATCTCGACACTGATGCTGTTCATTGGCCTGTCTATGGCATTTTGCATTAATCTGAGCAACTTTACCGAAGCCAAAGTTTTTTTTTGCAACTCCTTAATAAGGCGCAATAATATTCGTCATTCTTCACAGAGGATAAAGAACGCATGAGTGTTGTTATATTCTGTCTACACGTGTTGCTTCACAGGTTGTGTTTAAAAATCTATTTCTCGAAGGGTTAGAACATCTCGACACTGATGCTGTTCATTGGCCTGTCTATGGCATTTTGCATTAATCTGAGCAACTTTACCGAAGCCAAAGTTTTTTTTTGTTTTTTTTTTGTTTTTTGTTTTTTTTTTAATACATGATGCTTCATATCGAATATGACAGTACACTGGGAGTGGCAATAAATAGCTTCAAGAATTACTGAACAGCAGCAAAGGTTAATCAAAGATGGATTCATTTGTCCCTAATTACATTTTTGACACTGATTTAAAACATGTCTTTACTTTTTTGTTGCAAATGAGGTTTTTGACCTATAAAAGATTGCTTGTGCAATATGGTGCTTCTGCCGTAGCGGACACACAAGAAACGGGTTAGTCGATGGTGATGTTCTCATCGATGTCCTTGTGGTTGACAGATGTTGGCCTTAGGAAACCAGGTGGGTAAGCTCTACGTTTGGGACCTGGAAGTGGAGGATCCGCACAAAGCCAAGTGAGTGGATCCAATAAGTGACTCATTTAAATAAAAAAAAAAAAAGCTTTCCTTTGTTTTGAGTATCAAATATTATGGTGTTTCTTCGCCAGGTCCACCACGCTCACCCTCCCCAAATGCACGTCGGCCATCCGTCAAACCAGCTTCAGCCGCGACAGCAGCATTTTGATTGCTGTGTGCGACGACGCCTCCATTTGGCGCTGGGACCGGCAACGCTGAACACTTACCACCCGAGTGGACTGCTCCTTTTTATTATTTACTTTTCTGCAGTATTTTGTTTTTCTTTTTTTATATACTATGAACTCTAAACATTTTCTTACATTCCTCTGTGATGTTTTAAAGCTCCCCATTTTACTCATAACATGGTCAAAACAAGTAGGGTTTGGTGCAGTCCGAGTGTTCAAATGTTTATTTTATCATTTCTCGTTTACTGGATCACCATGATTGAATAATTGGAGGAATCAACCGTTATTCAAGTAAAAGCCTTTTCATTATGTAGTTATCATAATTATTGATAAGAATTATTTTCCTCTGTAGAGTTCTTGGATTTGAGTGTGCTTTATTTGGTCTTGAATAAACCTATTTTTATACACACCTTGGTGAATTTTCTAGAATGGCTTTGACAGAGTCGTGCGAAAATGCCATTGTGTGCTGGAAACCAGGAAAAATGGAGGACGACATCGATCGCATCAAGCCAAACGAATCAAATGTTACCATTCTTGGACGCTTTGATTACAGCCAGTGTGACATCTGGTACATGCGCTTCTCCATGGATTTCTGGCAGAAGGTGAATCACTGTTGTTTTTCGAATTTGAATGAGGATTCTGTTGTTGTACTTTATAGAAACTTACATTAATGACACCTTTCAAGAGAATTGTGAAGTATTAATCAGTTCTTGCTTCAAATCAGTGGACATCGTGCTGCTCCTTGGCATCGTCGGGACTTGGCACAGACATATAGATGAAAGTGGAGATGATCACAACTCCTTAATAAGGCGCAATAATATTCGTCATTCTTCACAGAGGATAAAGAACGCATGAGTGTTGTTATATTCTGTCTACACGTGTTGCTTCACAGGTTGTGTTTAAAAATCTATTTCTCGAAGGGTTAGAACATCTCGACACTGATGCTGTTCATTGGCCTGTCTATGGCATTTTGCATTAATCTGAGCAACTTTACCGAAGCCAAAGTTTTTTTTTGTTTTTTTTTTGTTTTTTGTTTTTTTTTTAATACATGATGCTTCATATCGAATATGACAGTACACTGGGAGTGGCAATAAATAGCTTCAAGAATTACTGAACAGCAGCAAAGGTTAATCAAAGATGGATTCATTTGTCCCTAATTACATTTTTGACACTGATTTAAAACATGTCTTTACTTTTTTGTTGCAAATGAGGTTTTTGACCTATAAAAGATTGCTTGTGCAATATGGTGCTTCTGCCGTAGCGGACACACAAGAAACGGGTTAGTCGATGGTGATGTTCTCATCGATGTCCTTGTGGTTGACAGATGTTGGCCTTAGGAAACCAGGTGGGTAAGCTCTACGTTTGGGACCTGGAAGTGGAGGATCCGCACAAAGCCAAGTGAGTGGATCCAATAAGTGACTCATTTAAATAAAAAAAAAAAAAGCTTTCCTTTGTTTTGAGTATCAAATATTATGGTGTTTCTTCGCCAGGTCCACCACGCTCACCCTCCCCAAATGCACGTCGGCCATCCGTCAAACCAGCTTCAGCCGCGACAGCAGCATTTTGATTGCTGTGTGCGACGACGCCTCCATTTGGCGCTGGGACCGGCAACGCTGAACACTTACCACCCGAGTGGACTGCTCCTTTTTATTATTTACTTTTCTGCAGTATTTTGTTTTTCTTTTTTTATATACTATAAACTCTAAACATTTTCTTACATTCCTCTGTGATGTTTTAAAGCTCCCCATTTTACTCATAACATGGTCAAAACAAGTAGGGTTTGGTGCAGTCCGAGTGTTCAAATGTTTATTTTATCATTTCTCGTTTACTGGATCACCATGATTGAATAATTGGAGGAATCAACCGTTATTCAAGTAAAAGCCTTTTCATTATGTAGTTATCATAATTATTGATAAGAATTATTTTCCTCTGTAGAGTTCTTGGATTTGAGTGTGCTTTATTTGGTCTTGAATAAACCTATTTTTATACACACCTTGGTGAATTTTCTAGAATGGCTTTGACAGTGATGGGAAAGACAAAGTAGTTAATTGCAGCAATTGATATTCTATTTTTTTTTTCAGGTAACCTATCTGTACTTGTTTACGTTGACAACAGCTTTACTTTTGATTCCTCCATTTGAAAACCGCTGTACAATCGACACTAATTGTGTCGAAATAGACTTATTACTCGTTAAAGTGTGCAATTAGCTGTAGGATTACTGCACATATTACTGTAATTTTTATGTTACAACTACCAGTCATAAGTAAAGTACCAATACAATCTGAATAATTCACTATTATGGGAAAAAAGGGTTTAATTTGTATTCTTTAGTACTTGGAAAATGAAAGTGAGATTTATTTATGGGTTAGTGTTATTCTAAAAGTTATTAAAATATGCATAGCTACATATTGGTTGTTAAGTGTGGTAGAGTTACATCAGATGTACATTGGAATATTGTGTGTATATTGTATTTCATTTTATGTATAGATAGATACTCCTATATTTTGAGATATATTATGATAATAAACAGGGGTAGGAATACATGAGTATGTATTTCCTACTCCTTTTTGAACATGTGTAAGCTGGTAAACTATTACCGATTTTGCACAGATTTTTTTTTTTTACCGTTTTGCAGTTTTTTTTTCCTACTTTCACTGTTCTTTGTAATTGATGGTCTAGATTTTGCAATGTTTTCTTTCAATTGATTGTTTTATGCTGTATTGTTGTCTCTATCCTGCAACTGGTTGACAGCTTGTCAGGGTGTACCCCGCTGGCTGCCCGAAAACAGCTGGAATATGATCCAACACGCCCGCGAGCCTTGTGAGGATAAGCACATCCGAAAAATTGATGTTATTTCTATGCATGTTCAAAATAAATTTGGAAAAAAAGAGAGATAAAATTAGCATTACGCATCAGATTAGGAGACGAAAGATATTTTGCGTCCATGTTATTGTGGTGACTTGGCTTTTCCCGCACCGTTTTACGCCATACCTTTCACTCTGTACTTTTTTTTTCTTTCGTCTACCCAGGTAACGGAGTTGGCTGGTGATACCCGTCTTCTCAGAGCAGCGGTAACGCGTTACGCCGGCCAATTTCAAAATAAAAGCTAAATCAACACATGAAGCTCGAGGATTTCTAATTTATACTAATTATGGATATGAAACAATCCTGCTATTTATTCTCTGATTTGTGTTGCCTCTTTTTTGACAGGAACCAATTTTGACAAAGATGACACGAGAGTCCACACGAAGAAGACACCCTTGAGGATTTTGACCGCTGAACCAGATTGTCGCTCTTGTCAACTCCGCCGCAACTCTACGCTTGCTGTCGCCGTCACTATAGCGGACTTTTGCCCTCTCTTATTGACAGATAAAGACACGGCACCGGCGCGCTGTGCCAGAGCAAGTCCGACATGTTCGCCTCCAAGTCGCCCAAAAGTCTGGCCAGGGATGTGTCCGCCGAACAGATGTGCATGGTCGAGTGTGGCTGCGAAAAAGAGCGCACAAATTGCGTGCACAGTTCAGAGCCACAGGTGCAGGTAGGCCTCGTCTACACTTTCTTTGCTGCTCGTTCCCGTCTAAAATGATTTTAAAAGACTTGTTTTAGTGATTTGTTGTCATAATTGTGCACATCTCCGTTCTCTCGGTATTGTACAATAGAATAGAACAGAAAAAGAGTACTTTTTTTTGGTCATTGTATATTGTTTGGGAGGTAACCAAATTTACAAAAATATTACAATAGAACGCTCGCTGTAATGAATGTAAATCCTTCGTCACACTCAGGTTCAGAATTTAAAACATGTTAGAAAACTGTTGGCAGAGTGGTACCACGCAGCAGTAGCATCGCCTCCGAACATTTACAAGATCAACAAACCGATAATATATTGCTACTATAATGACGGAGGGATAACTACACAGCCTGCCTCTCTTGGATAGGGTGGAAGAAGCAATCACGTCTTTACAACGCAAAAAAGAATCAAAGGGAAACTTTTCTGCATCATTATGGAGTTGGAGCTGACAGACACACAAACATTGCCCAAAGTAAACTGTGCATTATTTGCAAAAAAGATTAAAATAATTGTTATGAACAAGCCTATCATCATGATTCGTTTTTTGACGAAAGGGAACATATAGGTCTATTGCCACATGTTGAGCTGGCTTGGACCTTCTTCAAGCAAAACTGGCACTGTGTATCATACTTCCCAAGGTTTATTACGAAACGTAGGGCCTTGACCCATCATTGTGAACTGCATTCTCGAGTGCGATGGCCTTCTTTGTTTACAAAGAGTTTGGAGTTTCTGTGTCTTAAATGAAACAGGAGGACTATTTTTGTCTAAATTAATGCAGTTATCTGTTGTGCTTCATCTGCCACTAGCATCAGATGTCCAATCAGAATCACTGTATGCTTGTCGTCCATGTTTGTCGTCACATATAGTGTAGCAAAGTCCCTTGTTAGTCATACAATTTACATCCCTAACGACATGTTTTACTGTAGACCAGAGGTGTCTAAACCCAGTCCTAGAAATCCGCTGCCCTGCGTGTTTTATATGTGTTTCTACTTCCCCCCAATTTTGCTGCTGTAGACTGCAAATTTCCCCAGTGTGGGACAAATAAAGGCTATCTTATCTTATCTTACTCCAATACATCTGATTCAAATGATCAGGATCATTAGCAGGCTTCTTCAGAGCTTGCTGATGAACTGATCATTTGAATCAGGCGTGTTGGAGAAGGGAGACCTACTCCATCACCCTGGTCCTTCAAGGACCGTAGTTGGGACATAGCCGCTGTAGACCATTGTTGTTTTGTAGGTGTAGTGAAATATTAGGGCTGAACGATAAAATGCTTTTGCAATATAATCATGATTTGATCACCGTAAAGGCTGTGATTCAACTGGTCATGAAGAGTGTAGCGAAGGGGGAAGGGTGGGGAGGGGTTGTTCAAAGCAGGCACAGACACAGACATTTACCAGCAACACAAAACACAGACAAATAGCCAAAAACAAAACAAAGCAAAACAAACAAACCAAAAAAAAGTATAACACAGCCAGCTTCCAATTGCGGCCGGGACAAAGAGCCATAAAGGAGCAGGTATGTAAAATGTCGAGCAAGGAACTTGGCATGTGTGGTGAGTGTATTGACTTGTTTACAGCTGTTAAACTATGAACCAAGATAGCATTTAGCCGCCAAAGCAATAACATAACCACAGGCTGCAATGATATTGTCCCATATTGTCTTTATTTCATCACAATGTGTGTGTGTGTGTGTGTGTGTGTGTGTGTGTGTGTGTGTGTGTGTGTGTGTGTGTGTGTGTGTGTGTGTGTGTTTGTCTTTTTTTTTTTTTTGCCTAACTTTATTTGGCCGGGGGTCTGTGGGTGCACAGCTGCTGCTCTGATGTAAGTAGGGCTTGGAATAATTTGAAGTTTTTATATTGTAGTGACATTTCAAAAACCAAACAGAGTTCTGTGAGAGCTCGAACAGACTGACCATCGCGTTCTTGGTCACGTATCCACTAAAGCCTCTCTCCCCCCGATTGTTCAATTCAGAAGGGCAGCCAGCTCTAGGCTGGTTCGGAACTCCATCCATTCTTGGATGATGGAGGCCATTCCACTCATTGGAGCCTTCAAAGCAGCAAGAAGTGGTTTGTGCCCTTCCCCAGATTTGTGCTTCAAGACAATTTTGGATATAATGTTTTCAATAAGAGATAAAAGACTAATGTAAAAAGTGTGTGTGAGCACTGATTGCTCATGCACTTCATTGTTACAGCAAAGACACCAAATATATTGTCTATTGTATATATACGCTGCTGGATCTGAATTTGCTTTGTTTGCTCCAGTCCGATATGTACTTTGGACAGGAAAAGAGTCCTTTTGAACACCAGTGTTTGTCAGTCAACTGTACTGTACTTCAAAGCAAAGGGGACACAAGGGTAGGGGGATAGAATCTGAACCTCCATATATGGATTTAGTGCAAATGTGCATAGAGCTTATTTTTGTGAGCAAAGGCATCTTTCATTCATGGACTTGTGTGTAATGAAGCCCAACTGAATGCCAGAAAAATCAATATGTGATGTTAGCATTTTCTGACATGTGTTTGCTCACACTGTCCGACTACAGAGCTGACTTTGAGGTCTTTTGAGTTGCCACTGGCTGACTTTAAGCAGAGTCACATTAGAAATCATGTGAATCGCCGGTCATGTGGCTTTATGGGTCCCTTCTGGATTAAGTGGAGGCCCTCTGTTAGCACACACACTTTATTGGGGGGTGGGAGGGTTAAAGTACTGATTCAAACCAAAACAGTGATGTCATTACTTGAACCCAATTACAGCATACAGGGTAAAGGAGCCCAAAATTGTACTCAATGGTACTGTTACTCTGTGATTGGCTGGCAACCAGTTCAGGGTGCACCCCGCCTACGGCCCGAAGACGGCTGGGATAGGCTCCACCACGCCTGCGACCCTCATTAGGATTAAGCGGTTCAGACAATGGATGGATGGATGGATAGGTGTTACAATAGTATGGCTCAAGTAAAAGTAAAAATGTGTCTTCAAAATGATTCAAGGAAGAGTAAATAGTAAATATTCAAAGATAAAACTATTCAACCCCACCGCATGTGTTCTTTTTTTTTTTTTTTTGCAAAATTTACTACTTAAACCATTCCCGGTTAGGTAAACATATTGAAAGACAGAAAAAAAGTGTTGAAATAAAAAATTAAAATAAATACAATATAATAAATAAATAAAAACAAAAGCTAAATACTTCCAGATACATCACTTTTTAATTGTCACATTATTATTATAATTATTATTTTAAATGCCATGAGCTCTCACCTGACCGAGGTGAAGGTATTTGCTTGTCTCAATGATCCAAGGACCTAAGTTGTCTAGGGCTTTATGATCCTGGCAGGGTCACTCATGGCAAACATACAACAATAAGAATTTTTTTTTCAAAATATCTGAGCCTTCTCTGCCACGCATGCAAGCAGTCCTGGAAGAATT